AATTTGTTAGTTTTTTATGACTGAAGTTCTATTCACACAATAATACAGAAAACATTCCCCGGACGGTACAGTTTCTAATAAAATCATCAGGTCTAACATTCCCGTGAAACGAATCATGGGAAGGTGGTAATACCCTTTTTTTTAACACACGTGTACGTTTTTATTACAGACAGGTGCAATTGATTAGCACAATACATTTGCTGAGCTGATCACAGTCCATTATGTACATATAGCTAGGCACAGCTTGAGTGTATACGTGCATTTCTCCTAGAGTAATCGGCCAAAAGAGAAAACACTTATATATATCCAACTTACCTTGAACATTCTGTGGTGCATATAAGTACAGTTTAAGAATCGTTGTAATTCTCTCGGAGGAGGAATTTATGTAATTCGAGCAATAATACTTCATAAATCACGGTGCTGCGACAGGTTGTATTGTGTTGCTGTGGGAAATAACGCCATGCCTGCCTTATCGTTTATGTCGAACAGTAACCTGTAATAAGCGCTCATTGATAGAGCTCCTGCATTCTTGTGTCAAATACAGCTGTAACTTGGTCGCATATATAGAATACAATACATGATCATGCGGTAGAAAAATATTTTGAAACTGGATATAGAGAAAAGAATTATATTTAACACTTAATAAAACAGTGAACCCTCGTTAATCCGTACTTTTCCTTTACAATTGTCGGTGTTAACAAGTCAAGTCTTATTTTCGTATAAAGGCCACTGGCCTATATTCAGAAAAGTAGATAGGAATTTCTTAGAGTGAGTGAGTAAGTATGGTTTGACGCCGCTTTTAGCAATATTCCAGCAATATCACGGCGGGGGACACCAGAAATGGGCTTCACACATTGTACCCATATCGGGAATCCAACCCGGGTCTTCGGCGTGACGAGCGAACGCTTTAACCACTAGGCTACCCAACCGCCCCGGAATTTCTTAGAAGGTGACTGATGACAAAGAAGACACAATTTATGGATTACACATTCTTTATTTTACTGCAATGGCGACGTTTCGGTGTAGATCCTTATACCCTTGTCAAGCCTTGTCGAAACCGACAACGTCGCCATTACAGTGAAATAAAGAAGTTGTTATCCATAAATTATGTCAACTTTGTTTCACATAAATATTTGGAGAAGTTTCTTGGTAACATAATGTGGTTCGAAGACACTTTGTTTCACATAGATGTTTACAGAAGTTTCTTGGTAACATAACATGGTTCGAAGACACTTTGTTTCACATTGATATTTAGAGAAGTTTCTTGGTAACATAACATGGTTCGAAGACACTTTGTTTCACAAAGATATTTACAGAAGTTTCTTGGTAACATAACATGGTTCGAAGACACTTTGTTTCACATAGATATTTACAGAAGTTTCTTGGTAACATAACATGGTTCGAAGACACTTTGTTTCACATAGATATTTACAGAAGTTTCTTGGTAACATAACATGGTTCGAAGACACTTTGTTTCACATAGATATTTACAGAAGTTTCTTGGTAACATAACATGGTTCGAAGACACTTTGTTTCACATTGATATTTACAGAAGTTTCTTGGTAACATAACATGGTTCGAAGACACTTTGTTTCACATAGATATTTACAGAAGTATCTTGGTAACATACCATGGTTCGAAGACACTTTGTTTCACATAGATATTTACAGAAGTTTCTTGGTAACATAACATGGTTCGAAGACAGACGCTTTCTACATTTATACATATTCGGATTATAGCAATACATTTTAGGCAGATAGAGGTGTCTTATGTTCTTGCAGGAGTTACATGTTAAGGTAAAATGATATTCATCTTCTATCTCCAGGTTACAAAGAGGATATATACGTAAACTTACACAAATCCCCAACCTTCTCCCTTCCTTAACCTTCAACCTTAACAAGCCCATTTTCAGTCTTATTATGTTTGTTTGTTTGTTGTTTAACGCCGCACCAACCAATATTCCAGCTATATGACGGCGGTCTGTGAATAATCGAGTCTGGACCAGACAATCCAGTGATTTACATCATGAACATCGATCCACGCAATTGGGATCGATGACATGCATCAACCAAGTCAGCGAGCCTGACGACCCGATCCCGTTAGTCGCCTTTTACGACAAGCATAGTCGCCTTTTACGGCAAGCATGGGTTGCTGAAGACCTATTCTACCCCGGATCTTCACAGGTCCTCAGTCGTATTAACATGTATGTATTACGTCGCTTTCTAATTATTAAAAGTTACTGGATTAATGAATATTAGTGTGTTATAACGTTCCTCAATTATATATACACGTTGTAAACAGCAGTCCGGAGACCGGGGTTTTCGGACCAACGAGGATTGGACTGTCGGGGTTTCGGGCTAACGGAGTTATACTGTGTAGGTCACACGAAAAGTGGAAATCCTGCTAAGAACAGAATGACGATTACATGTAGTTGTGTGTTGTGACAAAAAGAAATTCAGGTATTATTTAATAGGGACGTACGAATTTGTTGCGTACATATAACACTTAAAGAAATATTATAAGCATCGTCTGAGGATATTCGCCAGAAACCTGTGATTGTTGGTTCGGTTCCCGGTTCGCCTCGATTATGTTTCAAGGTTTGTCAGCACCATACCCGTGCTCGTGGGTTTCACCGAAGTGGTAAACATCTGAGACCTGCATCACTTTGAGCTGATTATGTTTCTAGGTTTGTCAGCACCATACCCGTGCTCGTGGGTTTCACCGAAGTGGTAAACGTCTGAGACCTGCATCACTTCGGGCTTTCCTCCCACATTAAGCTGACACGCCGCGATATAACTGGAATACTGTTAAAAGCGGCGTTAAACCAAACTTACTCACTCACTCACTCACATGTCTTCACTGAGATTCATGATTTTCTTTCTACTTTCTGTTATTCCTCCCAGGCGCTCGGCATTAATTGGATAAAACAAGGACTGGTCGGATTGGAGTGAATGTACTATATCTGAATAGGGTATTAATGTTAAACTGTGGCATGGCAGAGGGCCAGAACTATAAAACCGGCATTAGTCCGGACCAGTACAGGAGTGAGACGCACCGCACCGCATATCGTACACAAAAAAACAGTTGTTCAATTATCTTTATAAAAAATATGATAAAAAAGAGCCCAGAGACTCTCTTCATTTTCAGATACTGTAGTAATCTAGACTTGCCAAATATTATAGACTTGCATGGGCTGTATTTGATATATTTGTATTCGGGTCTGTAAGACAGAATACACACAGTCATACACATTAGGAAAATAATGACACGCAATGCTTTTTTATTATATTTTTATGAAGATAATTAACAACTGTTTTTTTTCTGTGCGATATGTTCATTTCACAGACTAGATGTTAGTCTAGACTGTGGGAGATACATTCATTTATTCATTCACTTCAGTTATTATATAAATACCAGTTATTATTTTTTCGTCTTTGTGGTTTATGCTGATGGAAACGAAAAAGAGAACAATGAAAAATATAGTGAAATATGCTTTCCTGACAATTCAACAATGAACAATGTTTTTTTCTGAATAACTGTGTTATTGCATACACTGTCTTCGTGAAATGTCACGTCTTAAGCTTCCACTCGTCAAAAAGGTTGTTGTCCATTTCAATATAACGTGGCAGCTTACAACAGGTAACGTAAAGATCGTGATGTCATTCATCTACTTATAATTAGTTTTGCTTAACCCGTGGGTTTCAGATTACGTCTGGTATCCATGCTTGTCTTAAGAGCCGATTGCCGCTCAAGAGGTTGCATTGTGTAACCCGTATGCGTGGACTATTATATACATGGCGCGTTCAATACGCACCCACCATGTGATATTTCTGGGGGTGGAGACGGGGGAATGGAATGTGTTTATAAACCTAAATTTTTTACTAGAAAACATTATTTTGCCTCAGGTTTAAACAAAAAAAATCGCTAGTTATGCTGTCCTAAAAAAAAGTACTGATCAAGAAGACTAAATCGATTGGCCCGTCCGTTCAGTGAGTGAGCTTGGTTTTACTTTGAGCAATAGTCCAGCAATAGCACGCGGGTGACTCAAGACAATGCCCTTCTTTCAGAAAAACACGCTGTACGTCATGGAACAATAGAGGGGAAAAAATATTATTTAAAAACAAACTGGAATATTGCTGGCTGCGTCGTAAAGGAATATTCAATCACTGACATATGCATATATTCAACGGTATTTCACATTCATATTTTCATTTTTTTTCCCATCTGTTATTCAAATTGGTTTAATATCAATATCAGATCAATCGAAATTGTTTGATAGGCATTACTTAGAAGTTGACGGATGACAAAGTAGACACAATTTATGGATAACAACTTCTTCAATACTGTGAAGGCGACGTTTTGGCATAGATCCTCATACCGTTGTCAAACAAGACTGAATAAGGTTGTTGTTGTTGTTGCATTAAGTGTTTAAGAGGTCGCCTTCTGCCTAGACAATTTCGGCTGACCTGTCCCTCTTTGGGACTCCTGTGTGTGAGAAGGGTTCACATATCTATTGTGAGTTCGGGGTTCACATAATTTCTGTTGTTGCGTTGATATGATTTCTATTTTCTTATATTGATATGATTTCATTTTTATCCTTAGCTGCTCTGTTTATATACGTTCGAGCAGCTGTCCATCTCTCAGAAATAGAGCTAGTTTGGCCTTCGCTATTGCATCTCTTGGCTTTAGGAGATCTATGACAGATAGCGGATCTAACTGCAATTCTTGTTTTAACCTAGCCCGGGCTGGGGCATGGTCTTGACATTCTAGTAACATGAATAAGGGACATTGTACAGAATATATATAGTAGGTGGAGGGTTAACAGTAACAACAATTGCATACATGAGTGGGATAACATGAGTAGGTAATGACAACAGAAGGATAATACTGTCACAGCACGATGGACAGAGAACACACAGGTTGTAACCAATGAGACAAAATGCTAATTAAACTCGAAAAGTGGACGTCCATTTTCGGAGCGGTGATGAAAGATAACTCACCTGGAACCCTGGCCCAACTTGATTGGAAGCGCCACATCCCATGATAGAGGTGTGATGGATGTAGAGACAATTCCTAACTGTTACACCAGTGTTTTCATCATTGTCACCTCATGTCCAACACAACTTCAACATGGCTCTTGCCGCGGACAATGTCTGATATAAGTTCTGTGGATCGACGTCACCAGTATTTTCTTCATCGGTACGACTCCAAGAGGTTTCACCTGTAGCTGTGATACACTCTTTGATGTGGCCTTTTTTCACACCTGATAAGAAACATGGCGACCCTTCAGGTAAAAAGAGTCGGCCTTTGAACCCTCCTTACGTTTGTCAGATCAACAAGCATTGGTAGATCTCAACTCGGAATGTGCACATGTGTCTTGCATGTCAGTGCACTCTCATTCCAGTGCTAACATCAATACCTGTTGCATGCTATGTCCAGTGTTTACCAGCAGGCAAGCTAGACGGGTCATGTGTTTTGTCTGTGGTCATTGAGGCGGTGTAAGATTATTATTGGGAGTCGTAAAGCGATACCCAACAATCTTGGATCAGTGTAAGCTCAATTACGTTAAACCGCTCGATGTTTTGTGTTGTGTGGGGGAGTGTCAACGCACCTAATGTTAAATCACATTTCCACTCCACGACTGTACAGAAGGGAGTGTGTGCTTGCGTGCGTGCGTGCGTGCGTGCGTGCGTGCGTGCGTGCGTGCGTGCGTGCGTGCATGTGAGAGAAGATGGAGGGGGGGGGGGGGGGGGGGTATTTTGGAAGCAAAGCCAATGGTAAGATTCCTTTTACCCCTAGTAACAAGACAAGGGTATCCTCATACACTTCTCAATTGAAAATTGCTTTAAAAGATAACATCGAACTGTACAAGATTTCTGTGAACCGTCGATGTCTGTTAATGGATAATTTACTGTTATAGTGGATTGAATGAGTATATACTATTATCAATGATAATAATAATGTTAATAATAATAAATAATAATTTTATATATATATGTGTGTGTGTGTGTGTGTGTGTGTGTGTGTGTGTGTGTGTGTGTGTGTGTGTGTGTGTGTGTGTGTGTGTGTTATAAGTTAAAAGTGAATATTTTATTTGAAATAACAGATTTTAAAAAAATGCTATAAAGAAAAGTAAAAGATTTATAAACCTGGGGTATACTTTAAAAAGTGTCATTTAAGTTTTTAAGTTTTTGTGGCTTTACAAACATTTTTCGCATAAACATCAAATATCAGATAAGAAAATAAGGTTATATCAACTACCTTCGCAGGTCTCCCCCGGGTGACGTTCAGTGATAATCTGTGGGCGGAGCAGTACATGGGTAGAGCTGACGGCTGCCAGATAATAACGATTAATAACGATAAGCTCTGTTTGCGACGTTGTTTTCAGCCGGTTGAAATCCTTACACAATACACCGCCGTTAAGCTTGAAGTATGCCTTAAGAAAGAGGATTTGTTTATGTCAGAAACACTGCGCGTATAGTAACGATTATTAATCACTGCTATCAGTATTAAACGAAACCATTTAATTCAGATAGGTGATAAGATAGGTGACAACAAATAAATTAATCATTCTACGGATTATATTAGTTTTTCCCAAAATGAATTAAAATTTTCGTGGTGGTCTTCTGATCATGAGTGAGTGAGTGAGTTGGGTTTATCACCTCGTGTGAGCCTGAAGTGACGCAGGCCTAAAGGTTTGAAGGATGGCGCGGTAGCCCTACTCTCTGTGCTGCTCTCTGTGCAGAGTTGCGTCCCTTGGGCACGCCAAAAACCTATGTTCATGTTTTCGAATCCTGATGGGTTCATGGGTTACATCGAAGTTGATTTCCTCCCATATCAATCTAACACACCGTGATATAGCTGGAATATTTATCAAAGCGGCGTAAAACCAGACTCAGTCACTTACTGATAGATTTGAAAGTTGTTATTGATTATGGTTGCGCCATTGTGTGTGTGTATATATGTATGTGCTCATATATCCCGAACGACCATGTATATTTTAGCAATATCGACATATGGCATTCCTCTTCTCTTGATAACTTTCGGGGATAAATCCTGTATTTGCTGAAAGGTGTTTTTTGAGTATTGAATGTTTCTCGAAACGACCAAGAAGTGAGTCACCCCACACGTCACAAAGAATAAAAGGTGAGGTGAAATGGGGTTTAACGTCGCGTCCAAGATTATTGCACTTATATATCGACGTGCATGTACGTGTGTGTGTTTGTGTGGCTGCTTGTACTAGTCCGGACTGATGCCGATTTATAGTGCTAGCTCACTGAGATACCATGCCGCAGTTTAACATGAATACCCCACTCAGACACAGTAAACTGACTCCGAGCCGACCAGTCCTTGTTTTAGCCCCTTAATGCCGAGCGCCAGACAGGGTAACAACAAGTACCATCTTTTAACGTCTTTTGGTATGACACGGCCGGGGATCGAACCCCGGACCTTCCGCTCTCCGGGCGGACGCTCTACCACTAGACCACTGAGGCGGTCCAAAGAATAAAAGGAAGGGATTGAAACAGAAGTCAAATAACTATTATACAGGATACAGGATAAGATTTCTGAAAATTGATTTAACGTGGACTTGTACAGTCCGGGCGTATATCGCTGAAATAGTGTTTGATCGGCGTTGAGCTGAATGTTATTATTCCTGTTGAGGAGAGAAAATGACAAGAATCAGTTTTTCGGTGAAGCGTCTTATGTGTCGTAAGTTGGATGAAGCATTCGTAAAATCTTCAGCAGGCTTCGCAAACACCCTGCCCAACACCCAAACCTCATCCCGCGTGGATGTGTGAGTATTGTTTTTCGCGGATCTTATAATTATTTCAGAAATATCACGACTGAAGACACCGGAAATTGGTTTCACACACTGAACGTATGTGGTAAAGCGATACAGTGGCGTGGTTGTGACGAACGAAAGCCTTATCCATTAGACCCGTGAAGATCCGGGGTAGAATAGGTCTTCAGCAACCCATGCTTGCCGTAAAAGGCGACTTTGCTAGCCGTAAGAGGCGACTAACGGGATCGGGTGGTCAGGCTTGCTGGTCAGGTTGATGAAAGTCATCGTATCCCAATTGCGTAGATCGATGCTCATGATGTCAATCACTGGATTGTCTAGTCTAGACTCGATTATTTACAGACCGCCGTCATATAGCTGTAATATGGCTGAGTACGGCGTGAAAATAACAAACAAACAAAAACATCCAGTAAATATTCGGTGACCAAATAAAGCGGTTATGAACTGATTAGGACGCGTACCTCTCGCGTCTGTCCTTTAATCGAAGGTTAAGTTATTGTTGTTTGGAAACACTTGTCCATACACTGACAATGCTCGGTATGCGAGATATCGAAACTGGGGCAAACAATGGCACGACATTCGGCTGTTAACATTCCACGCATGTACCCGTCTCACCTGCCTCAAGGACAATACATAACGCAAATAAAACCCATCCTGAAAGGGGGTCTACACTCGGAGTAACTAGCAGCCCCAGCAATTTTTATTAAAGTGTTTAAAATATCACGTTTGATGTGCAATTGAAATCTTATCATACAAGTCCGTGTTGCAGTTATTGGTTAGCCTCGATTGATTGATTGATTGATTGATTGAGAATAGGTTCACGTCGCTTTTGGAAATATTCCAACAATATCCAAGCCGGGGACACGAGAAATGGGCTTCATACATTGTACACATGAGAGGAATCGAACCACGAGGCTACCCCGACCCGTGAAGATCCTGGATAGAATTGGTCTTCAACAACCCACGCTTGCAGTAAAAGGCGACTGTGCTTGCCGTAAGAGGCGACTAACGGGATCGGGTGGTCGGGCTCGCTGAATTGGTTGATGCATGTCATCGTATCTCAAATGCGTGGATCGATGCTCATGATATCAATCACTGTATTGTCTGGTCCAGACTCGATTATTTACAGATCTAGACCGCCGTCATATAGATGGAATATTGCTGAGTGCGGCGTTAAGCAACAGGCAAACAAACAAACAAACAAACTTGGCTACCCCACCGCCCCGATTACCCTCGAGACAATGTCGCACACAAGGGCACAAGGAACTGATAAAATGTCCATGTCAACAGAGGAAAGGAATGCGGTGTCCATTTAATAATCTATATGTTCGACCTGCTATCCAAAACGACCACACACACACAAACACACGCACGCACGCACGCACGCACGCACGCACACACACGCACACTCACGCACGCACATACACACGCTCACGCACACAAAGAGCTACCCCCACCCTAACCCACCTCACCATCAACCTGACCCCCTCTTATCCCTACGCCTCTCTCGCTATAACGGGGCAGGATATGTCGCCATGACCCAGTTTCTTGTTCGGCTAATTGTTATGTGTGACCTGGCTGCCAGCTTATAATTGTAACGAGAGGGGGTAGGTCGATAATCTCAGCTTCAACTCCTGGTTTACCTGTCCAAGGCTCGATTGTTTACATGCGGCTGTGTGCGGCGTAAAACATTATAACATTATTCACTCGTTCGTACATGCTCTCTCTCTCTCTCTCTCCTTCTCTCTCTCTCTCTCTCTCTCTCTCTCTCTCTCTCTCTCTACAGGCATACCGAATAAACTCATCGAAGTGTAACCGTTACCCTAACAGTTGCGTTTTTTTCATAACTCTACTTTCTCTTGGAACATCAAGTGTTCATACCGTTGACTGAAAATAGGCCTATTCTCAGTGGGAAACTGATATATTTATTTTAGCACAGTCTGTCAACGATAACATGGCTATAGAACGAATGAATGAATTTATCTTTTTAGCCGTTACCCTTAGGCCACACTAAAATAAACATTAGCTTTCCATTTTTATGTGAGGCGAGAGGCATTTTTATGGCGTCACAGCTGATTTTCAGTGATCCCATTCATGTAACTTTCACCACTATTTTGCCTTTTAAGCTCAGTGAAATCTGCTTCAGCGGATAATCGAGGTTATTTTATATTTAATATTATTTATTTAACAATAAACTGTTGAAAGTATCTGTGTATATATTACCTGTCGAAGGACGTGAATTAAATGAAACATCAGTGGTCTGTTTGTTGATTAAAGTAATAACAGCGGCATGTAAATAATCGAGTCTGGACCAGACAGTCTAGTGATTGATATTGTGAACAACGATCGCGGTACGATGACAGGCAATCAATCAAGTCATCAAATCCGATCCATAGATTGCTGGGAACTAATTCGAACTCGGAATCCCCATGGTGTTTGGTGAGACTACGCGTTTTCATAAAAAGAACACAAAACATACAGTTAAACCTCCGGAGTCCGGACCCCGTTAATCTGGAAATTCCTTCACCCGAACACTTACTTTCTTGGAAGTCTATATAGTCACATTACTACAAGACCTGTGAAGATCCGGGGTAGAATAGGTCTTCAGCAACCATTTAGGCTATTTCAGACCATTTAATG